ACTTCCATGACTACCTTCAACTAGGCTCACCTTCTGATGTGAGCTGACACGTAACCTTTAAACTATTAAAAATACTGCAGTATTTTATGTTTACCAATTAAATACATTTGCCTATTCATAATGATGTCTGCTTTTCTAATTAAAAGAGAGTGTCTACACAATAAAACTACTACTAAGGTACTTGGAATGTGGTATTTGCACATCACTTGGCATTATCTTACAATTTGACTACTTTAAAACTTTTATTTTTTGTTTGTTTGTTTTATCATTATATAATGTAAACATTTTTTGTGTCCCTTTACTAATTACTCCCTAACCTCCCACCCACCCCATTTCCCACCTCTGGTAGCCTCAGTTCTATTTTCTCCATTTGAAAGTTCAAGGAATTACTGTGATTGTTGTATCTTTCTTTCTTTGTTATTTTTTTTCCAACTCCCACTTTTGAGTGAGGACATGCAGTATTTCTCTTTCTGTACCTGTCTTATTTCACTTAACATAATTTTCTCTAAGTTCATCCATGTTTCTCCAAATGGCAGAATTTCATTCCTTTTTCTGGCAGAGTATTATTCCATTGTGTATACATACCACTTTTCCTTACCCAGTTGTCCATCAATGGACATTTAGATTGGTGCCAACTCTTAGCTATTGTGAACAGAGCTACAATAAACAACGGAGTGCAGTTATCCCTTTGACATGATGATTTCCATTCTTTTTTTTTTTTTTCTTTTTGTCTTTTTTTTGATTTCCATTCTTTTGGGTATATACCCAGCAGTGGGACTGCTGGATCATATGGCAGTTCTATCTGTAGTTGTTGAGGAACCTCCGTACTGTTTTCCATTATGGCTGCACTAAATTACAGTCCCACCAACAGTTTAGGAGAGTTCCTCTTTCTCTGCAAACCTGAACAGACCAATAACAAGCAACAAGATTGAAGCAGTAATCAGCAGTCTCCCAACAAAGAAAAGGCCAGGACCAGATGGCTTTACTGCTGAATTCCACCAAACATTTAAAAAGAAGAATTAATACCAATTCTCTCCAATCCATTACAAAAAAATTGAAACAGGGGCCATTCTCCCAAATTCATTCTATGAGGCCAGCATCACCCTGATACCAAAACCCGACAAAGATACAACAAAAAAGAAAACTAGAGGTCAATCTCTCTGATGAACATAGATGCAAAAATCCTCAACAAAATATCAGCAATCAGAATACAGCAATATATCAAAAAAATTATACACCGTAATCAAGTGAGATTCATCCTAGGGATGCAAGGATGATTCAACATACACAAGTCAATAAATGTGACACACCACATTAACAAAGTCAAGGACAAAAAACATATGATTACCTCAACAGATGCAGAAAAAGCATTTGACAAAATTCAACATACTTTCAATGATAAAGACTCTCGGCAAATTAAGTATAGAAGAAAAATATCTCAACATAATACAAGCCATATATGACAAACCCACTACGAATATCTTCCTGAATGGGAACAAGACAAGGATGCCCGTTCTCACAACTCCTAGTTAAAATAGTATTAGAAGTACTAGCTAGAGTGATAAGGCAAAACGAAGAAACAAAGGGCATCCAGATTAGAAAAGATGAAGTCAAACTGTTCCTGTCTGCAGAAGACATGATCCTATACATAGAAAAACCTAAAGATTCTACCAAAAATCTCTCAGAGCTGATAAACGATTTCAGTAAAGTTGCAGGATACAAAAAAAACATGTAAAAATCAGTAGTTTTTTATACTCCAACAAAACTTTAATAGAACTTACTAAAATTAAGAATGATATTTTCAGTAGACTACAATAGGTTTTATCTGAGACTTCTTGTTGGTTTTACCAAATATCTAACTGAAATGAAATAAAGAAAAGTGAGAAAAATGAACATGACCTCATTTGCAATTAACAAAGTATTCCATTTACTATAGCCTCACTTCTGATATACACTAGAACTGCACTATTACCAATAATAAAAGCCTACCTAGCATTTACATACATTTTATATTATATACTTACCTGCATAGGTTTTAGTTTTCCTTTTATCTCCATCCCTGGAATTTGCACATACCATGTTACCGATAAATTTCGCTGTATGGACAAAAGCATGTTGACTGGTTCTAAAATTTCAATGTCCTGCTGTGGCAAGCCATCCTGCAAAATAGTCCTGGGGAAAAAAAGTATCTCATTTTTGTTCCCTGAAATTTACATTTTAAAAAAAAGGACTAGCATATTATGTAACCATTTCCACATAGCATTTTCCAAAACACTAACGGCTATCAGAATTTTCAAACTTACTTCTTTTCACAAATCAATCGAATCTGAATAAAGATTATATGCAGAGCTATCTAAAACAAAGCCTATATAACACTGATTTCAACAATATAATTATCACTAAGTATGATTATTGCATTATCATCTATCACAAAGACTGTTTGATATAGCATCTAGTACAACATCATACAAGCAAATGTTACATCTCCTAAAACTGGAGAATAAAGAAAGTGGTCATATACATAAGCCCTTAATATGTTATTAGTATTTCTCCAAACTCAAGCTTTTCAAGATTGGAAAAACTCACCAAATTTAAAAGCTAAACAAATATATGGAAATAATCATTTCTAGCTTGGCTGCCAACAACCATCTGCACAACCACATAAGTACTTGCCATTCAACAGAGCCAACACTTTCCCATTTAGATTCAATAATACTTAATTAAGATACCTCACTGAGAATTCTCAAATGTGACAAGGTTTCAAAATGAGAAATAAACCTTAAATTTTATTAAATTCTAGGAAGTTTTCTTTTTTTTTTTTGACTGATAAGGGGATTGTAACACTTGGCTCGGCATTGTCCACACCACACTCAGCCAGTGAGCGCACCAGCCATCCCTATACAGGATCCAAACCCACGGCCTCGGTGCAAGGAAACAGCTACGTGCAAAGCGAAAAATATAAAAATGAAAATAAATGTATATTAAGTATTATTGTGTAAACTATAATTTTATAATAGGTAATTGTTATAGAATGGAAAAAAATCACATTATAAGTTTAGTAAGACAAAATACAGATTCTATGAGGTGCACTACTATTAACCACCTACAAAAAAACCAATAGTCAACATTTCATAATTAGAAGAAATAAGGAACGAGAACCACAAATTACCAGAGTATTTTACCCTAGGCAAAAATGCGATGAAATCCTATTTCTAAAATACACAATTAAATTATATATTTATACCTGGACAGTTTCAACTGGGTGAGTTGGATGTTCATTTTATCAATGACTGGGGGAAGAGAATAATTATGCTTCATAGGAACCAAGCTAAATTGGTTTTCAATTCTGATTAAACCCAAATCTGCTATAATGGCATTAGGTGATACAGAAGACTGAGGAATAATAATAACTGGTGCTTTCAAATTGATATCCATCGAAAGGCGAAAACTTTTTTGAGCCAAGTCTTTCATGCTGGAAGCAGCTCTTTCTGCAGCCTGGACTGTGGCTGCACTCAAAGCTTCTTTGGCAGTTTGGAAATTGTTGAGGAAGTTCTGTTAGAAGAGACCCATATTTAGAGAGTTTCCCCAAAAAGGTATTTACTTTTAAAAGAAAAAACTTTAAAAATCACTTACTTTAAAAAGAAAAATTAAATAAAAGAGAATATAAAAGAGACTTATTTATGATTGTGTACACGAAGACAGTAAAGTCTAGAAAGATACTAGAGCTACCTCTAGTACCAAGAGATAACAATAGTTACCTCTAGGAAGGAAGAATTCTTCCTTCAATAGTTAACCTCTAGGAAGTTACCTCTAGGAAGGAAGGATAGTTACCTCTTGGAAGGAAGAATTCTTCGACTTTAATTTTATATAGTCATGCGTCGCTTAAAGATAGGGACATGTTCTGAGAAATGTGTTGTTAGGAGATTCTGTCATTGTGCAAACATCATACCTACACAAACCTAAATGGTATGGCTTTCTACACACCCACCAGGCTATATGGTATAGCCATTATGATCTTTTGGGACCAGTGTCATATATGTGGTCCGTTGTTGACCAAAACATCGTTATGTGTTGCATGACTACATTTCATAATTATTTGATTTTTATGACAAATTTTTGTAATAATTCTTCTTTAAATCTCCTTTTTATTAATGAATGTTGGCCATTTTACACTTGAATTTAAATGAAAAGAATGAAAGACAGCACTATATTTCTCCAACAATGGGTTCAATTCTGTATCTCTAGGTTATAGGAATAAAGTTAATTCTTAGAAACTAAGGTCCTGGCAGCTTATTTCTCAAGATTTATTTTTAAAATGTATTCAAACATGAGTAAAGACAGTTAACTGTCTATCATCCTGCATTCATTAATAAGAATCAAAACTTCATTATTTATAGCAAGATGCATGTCATCACAATTTCAACTAAAAAATAGATTTTTCCCAATGAAGAAAAGATCATTCTTAGCAATATTCTTGATGCTCATCCATTAATAATACAAAAGCAACTTAATCCCCACCCCCCACATAAATTACTTTCTGGAAAAGTGAACATGGTTTAGGCAGAAATTCATGACTTAGAAACCCTGCTAAGAGGCATAGGTAGATTTAAACTCTTCAGTCCATGACACTTAAATGGAAATAAATAATAAAAATAAAAGAATTTCAGGGTCTTGTTGATCACAATTATAAGCAAAAGCTCTAAGTTCCAATATCAGTCCTTCAAATTCATGATGAGCTTCCTCATAAAATTCTTTTAGTTAAATATCCTTAAGGGTATTTCATCAAAGAAGTAACACTGAAAAGCCCTAAATTAAAACATCAAAAAGTACTTTTAAAATACATAACTATGAAAACATTAGAGAATAATAGTTTATATGCACAAAACAATAATTTTAAAAATTTGTTTGTTTATCTACCATATAAAGGATTTCCTTAAATATAATATTCTGTTTAGCATTTGGGTGTTTATGATACAGCCCTATCAGTGAAGATTTTGACTATCTAGGTTCAGTTGTACATGCAAAGATATTTAAGCCTCAATGAGAAATAAACACAGTTAAAATAAAAACTTACCAAAAGAGACATGAAGAATTTATGAACATAAACAATCTGAATACAACCCACTTTGAGACTAAGTTTCCCGTCTACTTTAGACATATCAGCATAGGACTCTCCTTCTGTAGCATCTGGATAAAGAGTCATTTGGAACCTAAAGACTTCATCTCCCAAAATAGAGACAGCCTAAAAGTATTAGATTAACTGGTTATTAAATCAAAAGAGCTGTAAAGCCCTTATCAATGTATTATAAATATGTTCCCTTATTACAGAATCCTGGATATGTTTGTTTGTGTGTGTGTGTGTGTGTGTGTATATATATATATATATATATATATATATATATATATATATATATATATACATGTACATATAAATGTATATATGAAGAATCAACATATAAATCCAACCTTAAAAATTACCAGTTAAAAACATTCTACTTGACAGTAACTTTTTCCTATTTCTATAAAAATCATTTTATCAATAGAAATATCGATCACTTACTTGTGCAGAAATAACTCTTTCAAATCACTGTATACCAGGAGACCTAGTCTATATACAAGGTGAAAGCAGGCTATTACCATTTTCATCTCCAACCCCTAACAAAGTACCTGTCACATGACAGACTAATAAATGTATACTGAACAAATGAATAACAGCATCTCAAATCCAAAGAACAAAATAAATTTCAATATAGAAATCTATTTTTTAATTACCTTTTTGTGAGTAGACAACAAATCAACATTTGTAACTATGATATTCTTAAGTCTGGCAAACACATCAGTCTCCTTTGGCTTCACAGAAATAGAGGCATCCATTCCTATGGGAAACATAATATTTACAAGCTTTTCATCCAAACTTAGTGAGCCAATTCAATGGTATTTAAATTCAATAATATACTACCAAAATATACAGTGAATAAAAATTACTCATAATGAAATATATTAAAGGTATCAGCTTCCAAGTATGAGACACCTAAGAAAGCTTATAATATATTTAAGTGTCACCAGCATCCCATACATAAGTAGTGGAAATTTTAAAACAAAACAACAACAAATTCCAAAGAAAATTAATGACATTTCTCCAAACATAAACATCCTGGGCATTGGCAAGATCACAAGTGTCATTTAGGAAGACAATGTATTTGTTTAAATCTATCTCACAAAAGTTTATTATATTAAAACTGTTGCTCCAGTAACTAAAAATAAATGAACATCATTTGATGAGTAAGTATTCTTATTTCTACAATAAACTATCTAGAATATAGTCTTCTAAGATTTCTCACCAAAAAAATGTCACTCATAATTTCTAAAGGCATAATGATTTCTACAACTGCTCCTGAGTAGAGAATGTCTGTAGCTAAGATCCAAGCCCAAACCATTACCATACCTCCCATAACATAGATATATAGTAATATTTGTTGAATGGAGCTAATTTTTTTAACTTTTTTAAAAAGTGCTTACTGTATACCAAGCACTTTTCTAAACATATGTAAATGCACAAACTTTCTTTAATCCTTACAACAATCCCCTGAATAATTATTACTATTTCCATTTTACAGAAGAGGGAACTAAGACATAGGAAGGTTAATTAATTTGCTCAAGGTCGGGCAGTGTTAGCTTCAGGACTTGAACCTTGACGGGCTGGCTCTAGAATCCACAATAAGATCTGAACCATTATATCATGTTGACTCATTCTTATATCAAGCTGATGCTGGAAAAAACTTACAAAATTTCTTTTAAAAACTTAGTATCCTGATGCTATATATATGCACAAATGACAAGGAAAATAAAGATAACGACATTTTTTTACTCAGTAAAATTCTGAAAATGCAATCAGAACAGTAAGAGATTAAGCCTTAGATTTATTCTGAAATTTTTTAAATACATAAGAAATGTCTTGTCAGCAATGAATCATAACAAATTTACTTCTAATGTGTCAAAGTACATCTTTTAAAAGTTTGCATAAGTATTCAATATAAGTAAATCAAAAGATGACTACAAGAAATCCACCATGTACAAATTCATTTTTCTTGGATGTTTATATAAAGAAACAAGTAACCAAGGAATAGTTATTTGTATTTTAATGATTTAATAATTTAATAATTACCATGTATTTTAATATCTGCAATGTTACACTTCTGATCACAGATAAAGACATTAAATGCATTTAATTCAGCTATGACCTTTAAATCAAACACATCATCTTGAGAAATGCTGCTGGACACTGAAAAGTAATAGAAACTTGTGATTAGCAAACTGCAAAAGATGTAACACTCAAAATAATCTCAAATTCACTAAAACAAAAGTACATAATGTACTATGAGGAACCAAAAAGACCTCCGTTAAGATAACATATAACTAATATGAATATGAAACAATTTTCTAATGCCAATCAGACAAAAACTAGCATGTTTCCTTTTCAATTAAGAATAAAGACAACTATTAATAGCACCTTGAATGTATAATTTACTAGATGGAAACTTTACTATAATTTTTCCTCTGGGAAAAAAGACCTTCTATATTAGAATTCTATTACTCCAAGATTTTGATTTTGAACTCCTTTTCATATCATATATCAGAATAAGTCATGAAAAACTGAAAGAGTGATGAATAGTTAACAAAATACATATGATTTACTATGGCACTTACAATACACATTATTAATCATACAATCAATTTCTCTAGATTATACTTTATTGCTCCATAAAAAATCTAAAATAAATGCTATGAGAAACAAACATAAAGGGCTACAGTTAAAAAAACACAAAAAAGTATTTTTTTATAATGTGTGTATGCGTGTGTGCATGTGTAAGAATCACGATGGAATGAACTCCCTTAAACTACTTTAGTTCAGGTCCTGATTGATAAATTTAGTATACATTTTTCTAGAAAACTGTGTTGCCTGAAGCAAACAGATCTTTCTATGAAACTGCAAAAGCATGGGGGATAGTAGTCCTTAATCACCAATATGATGACGGTTGTTTTTTTGCCCTTCATATTTAACATAAAATAGCATTAATCAAAACATAAAGACCAACCATATAGCAAAACTGGATGACTCTTTGGATAAATATTATTTGAAGTATGCTGTGAGTTTAAAACATTGCTTTTTCATTTATTCAACTGTACTACATTTACTTTATGTATATGTTATATAAAGAAGAGGTACTTCTAAGGATATTATATGTCTAAGGATATTAATGTGACAAGTACATTAAAGACAAAGAAGGTAAAACACTCTTACTCTAGTTTATAAAAAAATTACTAATCTGTTCCATGGTTTTAAGAATATCAAATCCTTGTATCAGACCTAATAGTACTGACAGTTTTACACTGAAGATGCCAGTAATATAGATATAACTGAAACTGGTAATGGTCTGAAAATTATTAGATGTTAAATATTCGCATCACATAATATAAAAACAAAAAATTAAAATGGTATCAGGCTTAAAAACAGGCATGTATGAAATTGGGGGACAGACCCTGATCTCTTCTAGCTATTCTTCTGTCCCAGACAGAGCAGGCCTTGACTGGGGGAAAGGGAGATAGCTAAAGAAAATGTACTTGACCAAGGAGGATGGGCTGGATTCCTAAAAGTAACAAATTCAGTTACTAATAGGAGTAGAGTTGATTAAATGTAAACTTCCTTAGGCTAAGACTTGACTTAGCAGTCAGGATGTTTGTTCCTTAAATAAAAACGCCTTATGGCTTAAGATAACATCTATAACACCAATCTCAAGTTGTCTTTGCAGATAACAATTACAAGCCTGCCTTGAAGTTTATATGCCTCCAGACTGGAGGGAGCTAAGGAGGACCTTAGCCAGGATGCCAGAAATAATTTTGCTGATCTCACCACCAACTAATCAGATTCACAAACAACTCACAGAACCCCCAAACATGATTCTGCTCTATAAATGCTTGTGATTTTAAGTAGTCAGGTAGTCCGGGGTCTTAAAGCTCCTTTAGCTACCATTGGCTCCTTTGAATGGCCATCCAAATAAATGCTAACCTTTAACACTACATACTTTGGTGTCAGAGACTTCTTAGTCATTTGGGTGGCGGATGAGGAACCCCCTTGTTTCGGTAACACATGTTCTTTATTTGCTCAGAATACTTCATACCTAATACTTCATAGAACAAGTCATGTGCCTGAGGAACATGTGCCTTTATCTGTATGTGATCTGAATATAGTTATAGTTAGAAACCAAACTGAGTTTGTCTCTTCCAGAAGATGCTTCCTTTGGTGTCCTGCAAAGCACAAAATTGTTCAATACCAGAAAGACCTACTTGACTAATTGAACTGGGCCATTGTCACAATACATTATTGTATCTGTACCTTAACTTCTTCCTTTCTCACTTTCATTGGACTGAAGACTGCAGAGAAGTAAATGCAAAGTATATACAACTTTTATTTTACATAAAAGCTAGACAGTGAAATCAAATATAAATACGTGACTAATATTAAACAACATTTATTTAAAATCCTTCACTATATTGCCCTATAATTCCATCGGGAAAAAACATGCTTTCTTTTGAAACTAACCTAATCTGTCAGAGCAGCTATAATATCAAGGTGCTAAATATTTATCTTAG